ACATCATTATAAAAAATATTCCAAACGGAAGGTCAGGCTTGAAAACTGGGCTCTTGCCTGCTTTAAGTGAGCCCTCTGCTGGTGCCCAGCAGCACCCCCCCCCCGCCCCGGTTCTCTGGCAGGAAAATGAACCCAGGGATTGATGAGACTAGGGCTTGCCGGCCCAGTGTTGGGCAGGGCCTTGCAACTCCCATGGCCCCAGTGGGTGTTGTGACTGTCATCCTGCAGAGAGAAAGCAAAAGAAGAGAGGCTGGGTAACTTCCCCCGCCCCGAAAGGCAGAGCCAGGGTCCAGGTGTGGGGCCCTCTCCACGGTTCTCTTCTGAATGGCCCCATTGTGATTTTACAGACACACACACTCCAGAGGGTTGTTTTGTTTTGTTTTTTCTTTTCACTTTTTCCTAACATTTATTTGGAAGTTTTTCAAAGTTTCTCTGTAGAGAAACTGGAAGAATTATACAATATACGCATATATCTACAACCTAGATTCTGCAGTTAATATTCTGCTTTATTTGCTTCATGGTCTATCTCTCCACAAACTGGCTTTTGATAATTCCAGGTATATGATGCTTACAGGAGACACATCTAAAACAAAGCAGTATAGAAAAGTTAAAAATAACAAGATTCAAAACTCATTCGAATTTTTCCAAAAAAGTTGAAAACTTATGTACACACAAAAGCCCACTCACCAGTGCTTATAGCAGTTTTATTCATAATTGCCCAAACTTGGAAGCAACGAAGATATCCTTCAGTAGGTGAATGAATAAACAAAGAGTGGTACATCCATACAGTGGGACATTATTCTTTGCTAAAAAAAAAATAGCTCTCAAGCTGTGAAAAGACATGGAGGAACCTTAAATGCATATCATTGAGTGAAAGAAGCCAATATGAAAAGACTGCATGCTGTATGATTCCAGCTTTATGACATCTGGAAAAGGCAAAACTTGAAGACAGTAAAACGATCAATGGATGTCAGGGAGTTCAGGAGAAGGGAGGGAAAAGTAGGGAGAGCACAGAGGATTTTTAGGGCAGTGAAACAGTTTTGTATGGTACTGTAATGATGGACACATGTCACTATACATTCACCTAAACCCACAGAATATACAGCACAAAGCGTGGATCCTAATCAAGATAAATACTTTAGTTATTAATAATGTGTTAGTATGATCGCTTTGCTGTGCACCTGAAACTAACATCGTAAATTGACTACGCTTCAATGAAAATTAAGAATTAAAAAGATGTATCGATATATTGACTCATCAGTTTATAATGGACGTACCACACTAATGCTGGATGATAAGAGGAAACTGTGCAGGTGGGGAGGAGGCAGACGGGAGCACTCTGAATTTCCTGCTCAATTTTTCTCTAAACCTACAGCTGCTCTAAAAAATAAAGTTGAATATGTACCTGAAAGAAGAAGCTGTAAAATAACTGGGAAGGAAAAAGTCATTTGCATATTGTTCTTTAGCTTCATTTTGAGTTCAAGTGTTTAGAATAATGGAGGGAAAAACTGAAAAGGAAGGATAAGCCTAAGCTAAACAATTTATGGATTCTCCCTTGTGGCCTCCATGACACTCCTGGCCTTGCCCGTCTGTCCTGGTAGAGTAGCATCTCGAAGTCTAGGGTTCCCCAGCCTACATAGTTACAAGTGCAGAGTATATACAAAGTGAATTAATTTGCAGACTTACAGGAATAATTCAGGAGCCAAATTCCCTTGTCTATCCACTTATCCCTGCCTTACAGATGGCCCAGCTGAGAAGGAGCCCATGCAGAGTTTCATGGTTGCATGAGAGAAGTGAGCTTTGCAGCTGTCTAACCCCCTGCCTGTTCCTGCTTTGTCCTGGTATCTGTGTGCACAGCATCTGATATAACCAAGAATGCTTGTACAATCAAGAGAGGAAGGGATAGCTTAGTGGTAGAGCACACGCTTAGCATGCTCAAGGTCCTGGGTCCAATCCCCAGTGCCTCCTCTCAAAATAAATTAATAAGAAAATCTAATTACTTCTCCTCCCCCACTGCCCCCAAAACAGAAACAAAAAAAAAAGAATCCTTGTGCGATCAAGACTCTGAACAATGCATAGTGTCTTAAAGGCAAATACAAATATTTTAAATTCTGGGTCATTATTTCACCAATAGGCTACCCTTCCTGCTGAAGTGATGTAAGGAGACGCTGGACACAGCACAGTTTGTATGTTCAACAGTGTGCGACTTGGCACACATCAGAAGCTGTGTTTTGGTTCTCCGTGTTTTTGCTAGTATCTTTCCCTACCTGTTTCCTTTGGACTGCGCCCCTCTAGGAAAATCTAGCAAAAAGTATGTTACTGTTGTTGTGGGAGGCCAGTGACATGGGTTGGTAAAAGAATTTACCAGGGATCAAGAAAAGTTTAGAAAAGTTTAATAGGTACCCTGCTATCAGCAACAGTGGGCCGCACAGATGAGAGGTGCCCATGTGAGCCCCGAGAGTGGCCGCGCAGGGTCTGTCACTGGAGGAAGGGGACTGTGCACACAGGAACAGGGGCTGTATGACCATTTTGTGCACAGGTACCTGGTTGTAAGACCTGTCAGGGACTTCTCTGAACAGTAGGATTTACAGCTTTTATAAGGGCAGGCTGTGAGGCCTGCCTGCCTAGGGTATTGTGAGACAGGCCATCTCCGGGGCGATGAGCCCTGCAGGGTAAACACACATCCAGAGATATTTTTATCCTGTGGAAATGCAGGTATGTGGAGTGGCCCTGCAGTGGGGAGTGGGACCTAAGGGACCAGTGACTCCAGGCACACAGAGAGCCCAGGAGTGGAGGTTTTTATAAACTTCAGAGCAGCTTCAGAGAGTGCCAGCCCACGCCACAGCCATCACGAGCCACTCCTCAGGGCCCAGCTCTCCTGACTCTGCTAGAGGGCAGACTGACTAAGGAAATAACTTGGAAGCACTTTTCATTTGTCAGTGTCTCCTTGTTCGGACTTCATGGGCATAACTTACACACCGGTTTGTACCCGCTAATGTGCTCCAAATAAAATTTTAACTGGTCCTTGCCCGCACCATTTCATGCAGAACTTGGCCCTTTTGTATTATCTGCTCTTCCAAAATTCTCACTCCAGAGTTTTTGTTTTGTTTTATTTTAGTGGAGGTACCGGGGACTGAACCCAGGACCTCTTGCGTGCTAAGCACATGCTATACCCACCCTCCCAACCCCAACTCCGGAGTTTTCAATAAGCATTTTCCACGAGGAAAGCACATATTTTAAGCAGAACGGACTGGTGTGAAATCACTGGATGTAATTATTTTTAAAACTTCTGGTGAATCTTTGTACCCCTGTGGAGTGTTTTTTTCCTTATTTTGTGTGTTTGCTAAATATGAAAACGGTGGCACGTGTATCCAAGTTTACA